CCCCCAAGTTTTTTTTTTTTTTTTTTTTTTTTTTTTTTAAGTTGTTTAGGATTGTGAGGACTTCCCTGGTGCTCAGTCACTAACTCTTCACTTTAACTGTTGCTTTTTTAACCTTTCTAGTCAGTTCCTCTTTGACCATGCAGAGGGGGGCTCCCTGCAGGAGCTATGCCTCTTCAGCTGCTGCTCCAGGTCTTCATTGCATTCAGCATCAACAGTATTTGGGTGTCCTTTGTGCTCTACTCCAGTGGTTCTCAAACTTTTTTTTTTTTTGCAGACCACTTGAAAATTGCTTAGGGTCTCGGCGGAACACTTAATGATCTTTCCAACCATTAGTGGATAAAAGCACTATATTAAAAAAAAATAATAATTAACTTTTTTGTTCTAGAAATATAAAGCACGCAATTCATATTTTAATATGAGTAGTCTAATGCGATGGATGTACCCTCTCTCCCGAGCTGCGGCTGGGAAGGAGGGCCATCTCTCACCAGCAGCTGCAACCCTGGAGGAAAGTTACTTCTTTCTCTGGCTGCCACAGCCCTGCACATCCCAAATCCCCCCGCCCCCTCTTCTCACATCACTTCCCCCTCCCACTTACCCCCCATTTCACTCCACCTCACCTTACATGTGAGTCCTTTCCAGGATCCAGGCACCTGAGTAGTGGAGCCACACCTGCGCAGTTCTGCTAATTAGGTGGGTGGCCTTCATTCTCTTGTATGCGGCTGCCCAGGCGCGCACCTTTAGAGGGAACTATCCGCAAACTACCTGAATGGAGCTCCTGGACCACTGGTGGTCCACAGATCACAGTTTGAGAACCTCTGCTCTATTCCTTCTGGCTTTGTGCTTGGGTCCTTGTTTTATACTTGTTTTGCTGCAATCACCACTGCTGGCTTGGGAATACACATCAGGTACTAGCCTCAGCACATCTCATGAATTTCAGTTCCATGGTCTGACCTTTACTTTGGATGTTAAGCACTTTGGCTTCTTCCTTCTTTAACTCAACAGATCAGTTGGTCCCCTCTCACTTGGTGCTTTAAAAGGTCTTTATCCTCTAGCTTGGTGGTCTGGAAAGTCCAAAACTCTTTTGTCCTAGACTGAGCACTTATTCATTCTGAAGTTTTATTTTTTGTGACTTCCTTATCTGTCTCTTAAGATTTTGGCTGCATACTCAATCCCTTGAGAATTCTGAGGCAGTTATTTAATGGATGAGCAGGTTATTGCATCTTCTATCTGGGTGAAGGGAATGCTATTCAGTGATGTCACATCTGGCTACATATGTACCTTGAGTACAAAGGCATCGTGGGGAACAACTCTGGCATTTCTAGAAACAATCCCTCAGAGCCAAACTTGATGCCAGCAGGCAATTACTTAGACCTGTTATGAATGTTGGATCTCCTGGCCACTTAAGTTTTCATAATACCCATGACATGTTTCATCTGAAAACAACTTAGTGGATTCTG